TTTATTTTCAATTACTTGAAGCAAATTACACATGAAATTATTTTTCCCAGCAATATGGAATTTATATAATGAATCCAATATTCGTGAATTAAAAAATAGTTAGGTTAACTATACATATTTACATCAATATTCAAAGTGTTCTAAATTATGGTAAAAAATAAAAGAATAGTCAATGATGAAATTAAAATACATGTTTTTGAAAAATAAAATATTTGAATTTTAGATTATATATATACATAGCATATTGTATTATAACAGTTATGTCGCCTATTAAAGAGACGATCTTAGTTGTTCGGTTCTATTCGAACAATTAGTTTCGAATGGAATTTTGTTTAAAGGTATTTAATAAATTCTTAAGGCCTCTTTTTATTACCTAAAGATTTAAATATGCATCGCACTATTTAAAAAAACATTTTTATATAATATGAAATATTTAATCTTTAAAAAATGTTTATAAATTTATAAAATTCTATTCTCACAATTCTCTTCCAAATTAAAAGATGTATACGTTTAAAAGATAGCAAGAGAGGACAAAATCTTTTCCACTTAAGATTTTTTTTTTTCAATATAAGGAATCAATACCAAAAGATATATCGATTTCTGGCCAGAGATTTGGTGGCAGAAGATAGATAATTACGAAGCGGAACACTCTGATTGGCTGAAAGATGCAACACGGCAGCCAATAATAGCCATTAGGCTTAGAGAAATGTTCGGCTGCTACAAAATAACGCCATATTGAATTGAAGATAAAGAAATCAGCCGATAAACATTTCGGCGCAGACGATAATGAGCAGGAAATCTATACTTGTCGTTTGGTTAATACCAGAACTTGAGGCCATATTTTAAAAGATTTTTTTTTATTGGTAAATAAAATTGACAAGAACTTATATTTTCTCTATAAATCTATCTATATATATGTTATATAAAAATATTATTTTATTTTAAATTATAATTTCATAGATTCAAATACTCTGCTAAATCGACCGCCAGAGGTCACTCTTCCCCTATAAAAACTCGTTGTTTTATCCCAATTGCCGGCTCAAAACCTTTTGTACATTATGTAAAAATATTTTGTTTTCCTTGTTCTACTCGCCTTAAGCCAAGCATTACTTTTATCAAACTATGTTTTTATATATTCCTCAGTTCAATTAAATTACTGATCAAAATTATTTTCATTATCATACTTTCAAGATTTAACCACGACTGCATTAACATAGCATAATAATCAAGATGATCAAAAATCAACAGAAATCTCTTTTTAATTTATATATTATATATTTATTGCGAAATTTGATTATATTTTATTCATTGATGAGTTGAGAAAGAATAAAAATCTATATTTAATATATTATAATTTAAAAAAACTCTCTTTTAATAATCATGACACATACATCTTCGTATATTCTATATTTTTATATAAAAAAGTTACAAATTATTTTCTATAACTTGTACACTTTTTCATTTCTAAATTAATTTTCAAATTTTATATTGTGTATAGTGGATATAGTTAGCTAGAAGTTATACTCTTAGTTGTTCCAGTTGAAGGGCATGTTAACCTGAAAGCTACAAGAAAATTAGCCCTGGAGAGATGTTGTGTTGAATTTATTAAATAGAAGATTTAGCATAATTGGAACTTGAGATGTCTATTTATTGATGAGATGTAAACACAGATAAAAGGAAAGGATAGCGGTATTACTGGAAAGATGTATGGTAGAAGAATTCTAAGAGGAAAGCCTAGAATAGAATTCATGGACAATTTCAGGAAAATACCCTACGATATCATCAAAAAAGACTAACTATAAGAAGGAAGCTTTGACAATACAGGAATAGTCCAAACTTATGACTGGTTGAAGAGAAATATTTATAGATATCAGTAAAAGATATTTAAAAAAACTCCAAACACAGCTATAAACATTTCAAAATTTAAAAGTTTTTGTGAGAATTTTAATGGATTTTTTTTCATGTCAATCTACTCTTTTAAAAGCAATATTCACGTTTATGTATATTTCACACTATGTAAATAAATCTCATTAAAGTTTCCATCAATATATATATGTCAAACACGAAAATAGAGAAATTTGTTAAATTACGACTTAGAGAGAAATTTCTCCAATAAAATATGTCTTGTTTAACCCAGACAAACCCCATTGTTCTCTCGAGTAACAATGGGATCGAACAACGAATAGATAATTGTGTAAATTTGCATACCCTCTGCTCTTGTATTGACAATATGTCAATAATATGCGTTAATCGTCAAAAATAATTGTCTTTCCACGAATATCAGACATGGGTTAAAACAGACAGGTAATCAGTTTTTCTTTCTTCAAGAAATTTGTAATGGCTCATATTTGCATAGGTCTATCCACATACCAGTGGACGCAAATATAATTTTATATAAGTAAAAACAAAACACAATGACTTATTTACATATAAGTTTAAACAAAACGAAGATCTGATACCTTATAAGTTTAAACAAACAGAAACACGACTCAATAAAAGTTTAAACAAAACAGGGACATGACCCAATAAAAGTTTAAACAAACAGAAACACGACTCAATAAAAGTTTAAACAAAACAGGGCCATGATCTCATAAAAGTTTAAACAAAACAGGGACCTGATACCTTATAAGTTAAAACAAAACAGGGACATGACTCAATAAAAGTTCAAACAAAACAGGGACATGATCCCATAAAAGTTTAAACAAAACAAGGACATGACCCAATAAAAGTTTAAACAAAACAGGGACCTGATACCTTATAAGTTTAAACAAAACAGGGACATGACTCAATAAAATTCAAACAAAACAGGGACATGACTCAATAAAAGTTTAAACAAAACAGGGACCTGATACCTTATAAGTTTAAACAAAACAGGGACCTGATACCTAATAAGTTTAACCAAAACAGGAACATGACCCAATAAAAGTTTAAACAAAACAGGGACCTGATACCTAGTAAGTTTAAACAAAATAGGGACATGATCTCATAAAAGTATAAACAAAATAGGGACCTGATACCTAATAAGTTTAAACAAAATAGGGACATGATCTCAATTAAAGTTCAAACAAAACAGGGTTATGATCTCATAAAAGTTTTAAAAAAATAGGGACCTAATACCTTATAAGTTTAAACAAAACAGGGACATGACTCAATAAAAGTTTAAACAAAACAGGGACATAATAAAGTTTAAACACAAAACAGTTAATAAAAATATGTGAAAGTTTTGTCACATTATATGTTTGAACTTATACACACACAAAAAGATCATTTTACTAAAAAAGATTCTAGGATTAAATAAACAATCCCATATATTTTGTATCTTTGTAAGTCCAGAATAAATAAATACATATTTACACAAATTACAATTCTACAACAAGAATCACACTATTTGATTGACATATGGTTAACATATAAAATATTTAATAAAATCAAGATAAAATAAATTTATTCACAGAAAGTCGGAACCAGCAAAACAACCTGACAACACCGATCCATATTTTATCCAAACGACTGTGGGGATGTGAGGCCGATGGACAGTGTGTCCGGGCCAAATATCTGAATAATTCAGGACTCTGTGGTGGTGTCCGGAGTCCCAGCTTATCTGGACTTGGGGAAAGAATTTACAAAATCTTATCAACAAGGATTTTTTTCTAGAAAGATCTATGATCCTGTTGGCTTGTATCACCCTCTCTCTATCTCGTGGATTTCTTTACTGACTTTTAATGAAACTTGATGTGTAATTTGTTGGTGGTGGATCTCAATAATTATTCTCTTTCTTAAATTAAAAAAAAAGGCATCTCCTTATCGTGCAACTGAAAGTTGCTGATGGCTTGCGCCATCTATCGGAATAAATATCAACTATTCTCGTTGATTTTTAATTATTCCAGAATTGGCCAAATACCCATTCTTGATTAATCAAATAAAGCTAACCACTGACGCGTTTCGGGCTGTTGGCCCTCATCAGCGTGGTGCAAGCTGTACCTCTTTCTAAAATATAAATCTACTTTATTGAAGGTACAAAAATAAGGAACATAAATTACTAAATATATCTAAGTAAACATTACTAATACAATATCATCTCTCTCTCACCACACATCTCTCTAGTCACACCATCTCTATTAACTCTTAACCATATATATATAATAAAAAAAAGAGATTTTCTGTTGTATTTTTGATCATCTTGAGGATTATGCTATGGAGTTATTTGCTGGTTGTTTTTAGTACAAAATGGTATTGGAAATGGAGTCGTGGCAATAATAATAATAGTATTGATCAGAGGTTTCTTTAATTGAGCTAAGGAATATATATAAAATACATAATTTGGTAAAAGTACTGCCTGGCTTAAGGGGTAAGAATAAAAAAGGGAAAACTTATTTACATAATGTACAAAAGATTTGAGCCGGCCATCGGGGAACAACAATGAGTTTTTAAAGGGGAAGAGTGACCTCTGGCGGTCGATTTGAATCTATGAAATTATAATTTTAAATAAATACTATTTTAATATAACATATACATACACAGATTTTAAGTCACAGATTATTACAATCATAGAATAAAAATAATATTTAACATCCAACATAATATGATCTATTTAAAGATCTATCCTCTCACGAGAAGTCTTTAATTAGAAAAATTAAACACTTCGGCCAGTTAAAGTTTTTTATTTTCTCAACGTTTCGACAAAAATCTTTTGTCTTCATCAAGAGAAATAAATAAAAATATATAATTTGGCAAAGCGTTAAAAATTGTTCTGAAAATAAAAACTCTAACTGGCCGAAGTGTCTATTTTTCACAGAAATATGAATACCGGCCAGGCAGCCTTTATCTTCAGTATAGAAAAATTAAGTTAATAAAAGCCTAGGAACCCATAATTGGTGTAAAATATACATGTATATTACTATTTCTTTATATCCCTACTAGCCGAATGACCCGGGCAACGCCCGTGTTTTACCCGATTGAATGTTTTGATTCAAATACTATTTGTTACAATTATAAATTGTGGTCATGTGGCCTAGTGGTCATGACATCTGCCCGGTAAGCGGAAGGTCGTGGGTTCGATTCCCATCCCTTGACACTTTTTTTATTTTATCCATTCTGACCAAAATCTATCCGTGAACTTCACACAGTGAACTTCACACAGACAGAATAAGGCAATTATATAAGTAGATAGTACATGTGGTACAGGCAATGATATAATCATGATTGGTAGAAGATAGTGACTGCTTTTACTGGAGTACACCACATGTCTACATATGTTAAAAGCAGCTCGACTTTTGCATGTAATATTTGCACTTTTGTGTAAATAAGCTGTTCATGTGAAAAAAAAATATAAGAAAAAAAGATAGAGAAAAAGGTGTTGATGCTAAAACCAAACAAAAAGGCATATCCTGACCTATCACATGAGCATTTTGATTTCTCAGTAAGCCTCTAGGACCAAATATTTGGTCGTTAAAGTAATGCCTGTACCACGCTGACAAGGCCAACAGCCCGAAACGCGTACGTGGTTGGCTTTTCTTGATTTATCAAGAAAGGTGGTTTACCAAATATCACGGAACAAGTTAAATCAATGTTTAGTTGATCTTTATTCCACTAGATGGCGCTCTTCCATCTAAAAATGTTCATTGTGACCAGACAGGATATGCCTTTTTAGTTTTTAATATCAACACCTGACCTGATATTTTATCCCCCCCATATATTATTATATATAGCTAAGTCTTTTTATTATTTCTAAGCTACAAGCTTTCGAGGAATCCTCTTTATCAAGAAACTTTATAAACACAAATAATTATATGAGATATCGTACGGGTTCCGAGGATGAGTTTCTTTGCTTTTTGCAAGAAGCAAGCAATAGAATAATCTTTCAACGCCATTTTGTTTATTATTTATATATATTGCAGATTTTTTATTTTTCGAACAGGTAGTTAAGGCCAAATTTGCATAAGAAGCATATATATATATATATATATATATATATATATATATATATTGCTTATCCCTAGTACATGAAGTAGAGGCCATGGTAATTTTGGTGGGTAGAAGTAGGCGACTGCTTTTACTGTAAGTGCACCACATGTCTACACATGTGAAAAGCAATTCGACTTTTGCACTTACAAATGTGCCAGAGCCCCGTTTGGTTACCTGCACTCATCGGTGGGGTTGGACTTTTACAAGAATCGGGGGCCATTGAAGATTTTTTTTAAATCAGGAAAAAAAAGTGCCCAACGCGGGAATCGAACCCGGGTCGTAGCGGTCGAAAACCAACGGTTTAGACCATCCTTCCACCGAACCCCAGAGAAGCATGTATATATGGCCAATAGTAACACACAAACAAAAAGTTATTTTAACATGACACAAAATTACATGGCAGAAGTACATAAAACTCTAGCACTTAATGGCCAAATTGAGGAAATCGTAAAAGTACCGAGGAAGAATAAAAGAGATTTAAATAATTGATGAAATCATTATCGTATGACCAAGAAACAATATGAAATCTGGCAAAGGACAAATCACTACACACCAAAGTTCAAAATTCACGGCACGAAGTCTGTTTTTTTTTTAAAACCAAAAGTAAAAAAGGCGAGGAAATGGAATTTAAATTTAAATGAAATTACCAACACAAAAAGAAAACTCTGTGAGTTGTGGTTATACACTCCAGCGGGGCCAAATTAAAGACATTTTTAAATAGGGATTCAAATTGGCAACCCTGGCCAAACACGCCATTTAATTTCACGCAAGACCAAATTAATTTCGTTGCGGATTTCCTTCCTTCTTTTATTATTTTTGGTTTTGGTTTTGTTTCAATCGTTCTGCTAATTTGTTGGATTCTACTTCCTCTCTGAGATAACGAGAGAGATCCAGTTACATAGTTGCATATTGGCATTTCCATTATGCCTTCAGAATTGCACTAAATAAATTGTGAATTTTATCAAGGACTTGTTGTGTTTATATTTATATAAAAATATGCATTGATTTAAGAATATACCGTCTTTATTATTATATATTTTCAGAATATTTTAAATTTAAATAATATATAATTATCTTAACTATTTATTAATAAGAAAAAGAAAAAGGAAAATGTATCTCCTAATCGATATTTTCACATGATCCCAGTACAATTTCACTTTTGTGCTATTTTTTTCATATTTATTAACCACACTGATGAGCCAAGCCCTCCCAATAAATTTTCATCGCATTAAGGATAGTAAAATTTTGTTTTATATTTAAAAAGAAACATTCCTGCTTTAATGTTTTCATTTTCTATATATAGATGGTACGTTATTATTTATATATTTGTTTGTGTGTTTAGCTTTAATACAACTCCGCCTTTGCCGGTCCCAAGCCCGGATGAAAAAGGAGGAGGGGGAACAGTAACAAGCTCACTAAAAAACCTGGGTTCAGCTGGCCCGGCTGATAGTACCCTGTTAGGGCTCCTAATCTAGGGATACATGATGAGCAGCGTCTGCACTCCATGTTAGGAGCGGCTGCACATGTTGTCTGTTCCTCATGTCAGAGGCGGCCATTTTTTTTTTTGGAGCTAAGTCGGCCTGCCACTAAGTAGTGCTCCCAGTCTTGATGACAAAGGCAGACGCATTCTACTTCACCCAGTATGGAGATAAGAAAGAAGAGGAGGAGAAGCTTTAATACAATCCAATCTCCTATATTTTCGAACCAATATATATTTTTGAAAGCATTCCTTTTTGTCTCAAATACAAAAATTCACCTATATTTCTAAATATAAAAAAAGGTCGTCTAACACACACTTGTCCTAAAGTCTAAGAAAGCAAGAAAAGCAAACCATGCAATAGTTCAAGTAAATATACAAGTATACTTGTAGGTAAAATATCAATTAGTTATATACAGTATTGATGAACAGGTATAACAAACATCGCGTGTATTTTTGATAACTTCTTTATTTACTTTTCCAACGATATTCTCAGTTTTTCTGTCTAATTGTAGAACAGGAAGATAAAGCTCTCATCGGTCAACCAATGCGGTCCCCCTGTACCCTTGAAGTATTCGACCAAATTCCTGTCCGTTTCCAAGGTAACTAAAATGACAACGGCACCCATTTTCCAATGTGGACACGACAACAACAATGCTTTGCTTTAAAACAATAATGATCCGTTTCTATTTTAAGATTTTTACCCACTTGATAAAATAAGCATATCCTTAAAGCCTTCCCATGTGCACCAGGTGCAAAACCGAAGAGGCCATTCCCCAACATATACTAAATTGTATTGGAAAGGACAAGATATCCCTGTACAGAGAACCAAGAGAGTTCTTCAGCTTCTTTATGAGAACGACCTCCAAGATCTTGTCTAATTTAGACTAAAAGGATAAGTAAAAAAAAAGCATATCCTGACAACTAAAATGAGCATTTTAGATTCCATATCGATATATATTCAAATATAAATCAACTAAACATTGATTTTGTTTACTTATTTGGGTGATAGACATGTGAAACAGCTCATTTTTATCTTTCCTCCTTGGAGTCCTTTTCAGAATGAAGTATAAAACATATTTGCATACATATTCCAAAATACATAGCGCCATACCCTTCCAGATAATGACACAAATTTTATTTATCGACTCAAGTTATCCACTCTACCCCACTATTAGGATTTTTATGAGAAAAACAGCTCAATACAGTTGGGAAACGACTGAACAAGGCCCTCTCCCAATATTTTCCACATCAGTAATAAAATTGTTCAATTTATAACTTAAAAAATCGCACTAAATAATTACTTTTAAATAAAAAGTAAAAAGAAATAAGCACGACATCTGTATGTAAATAAAGTAACTAAAAATAAAATTATCTGCAATACTTATAAATAATAAACAAAACGGTTTCCGATATAAGTTTCTTTCTTTATTTAATATCAAGATTTCGGGTATCACAAACCCTTCTATAGGACCATTAAGTCATATATATTGTGGAGGCTATGTGGCGAAGAAATAATTTATTATTTAATTTAATTATTCAATTAAAATATTCATCAGATTATATTGTTTAATATTAAAAAAGAATTTTACGCCTTTAAAATAGTTTCGAATTTTGATAACAGATGGCGCGCTAGTGCATCTATATTACTCTGTTGTATTTTCATTGAATAATTAAATTAAATCTGTTTCCAAATATTTTCATTGAATAATTAAATTAAATAATAATAATTCTTCGCCACAATATTGTAGTATATTCCTATAAAAGGGTTTTTGATAAGCTTGATATAAAATAAAGAAACTTATATCGGAAACCGGTTTTTCCAATTATGTATATGTGCTGCAGAAGATTTTATTTTTCGGAAATAATTATTTTATTTACATACAGATGTCGCTCTTATTCTTTATATTTAAAGATTGGTGTGTTGCCTATCGAAATATTGAAGAGAAATAAAAAATAAACCTTGGTCAAATATATTATAGGAATTTTCATATAATCACACAATATATATGGAAAAATATTGTATTTTAGAAAACTAATATAAAAATAAGCGTTTTATCAAATCATACACATACAAGGTAAAGAAAAAAAAAGCCTTAGAGATCAAATTAAATTGATTTTTTTATCATAGAGAACAAACTATATAAAAAACGGAGGCTTATAAATTCCCCATCATTGATTGGCTGAAGAAAAGATGAAAATCAATCAAATAGGATTTGTCTTGGCGGAGAGAATTTCTGCCAATAATTCTCCGGGAAGAAGAACATTTTGGGGGAGAAAATTTACGGGAATAAATGCTCTCTCCTCGTTTTCGAATTATATATACTCACGGTATTATTTTTGTTTCTAAAAATTAAAAAAAAAAACACGCACTCTTCATATATTTAAAATACTCTATTAATTTAAAATATATATATGTCATAATTTGTATAATTAATGCCCAAGAGATATATTTATTTCCGCCATAATTATATTTTAAAATGTAAATACAAATTCATCCATGTATAAATCTGTACAAAATAAATCTGGGAGCCAGCGCGCGCGGGGGAAGGCCACGCCTCCGCCGCGTGGCGCGTGCTCACGAGTGTCGAACAAGTTCTTTTTGACGCGTACATGCACAACGCTTGCGCCCTTC